ACGCACGGCCTGAGCAGAAGCGGTGTGGGGGTGGACAAGGCCTCACGGGTGACGCTTCAGGAGAGTTTTCTGCGCACGCTTTGAGGAACGTTCTCAAAACATTTCAGAATGTCAACAAGCCAAAGGCCTTGCACGTCTCCGGAACTGTTGCCGTGACCTTAGCTTTTGCTGAATCTGCTTCTGCCCCCACGGGACCACTTCTGCATCTTGGTCGTGGCTGGTTCCTGTGTTTTGTCTTTAGCATCACACCGGTCACGCCATGTTTCACCTTCTGTTACAATTCTTCAGCTGAAAATACCTCAGGCTCTTGATCTCACTGATTAAAAATTTCCCTGAAAACTCAGCTCTTGTCTGCAGCTGCTCTGGGCACAATGGCCTTGACCCCCATCGGGCAGAAAGTTGGCTCAACTTTAAATTTTCAGTCACCAAGGTGCAAGCAAAACAAATTGAGATGTCTATGGCATTGAGTATTGTTTTTGCTCTTAATAATTTGTCCTCTTCAATTAGGGCACAGACAGGATTAAATTTTTCTTTGAAAATTGACGTGGTTGGTTTGATCCTAGCAGCTTTATCTTCAGCAGTGTCCCTTCTTCAAATGAACTGCTTGTTTCTTTGAAGCACTGTTCCCATAGCTTTTTGTAAGACAGCGATGATTTCACAATTCTTCCACGCCATCAATTTGAGGTTTTCCCTTGTTTCAATGTTAACAGAATTCCCATTGCTCTGATAGGAATCAGCTTTTTAAAGGGATGGCTTATCTTTCTGTGCCTCAAACTAGAACCTGTTCGGACATAATAGAAAAGGTCAGTCCTAGTTTATTTTGGTGAAAAAGTTGAAATCCATGGATATAGTTTCTCATAATATGTATTTTCCATATTTTTGGTTAATGGAATTTATGTGTTCCTGGCTACATATCTTTAGTGCTACCACAAATTCTCTACTTATAATTAGTATTTGTTATTTCCTTTAATAATTGTTATTTAACAATGCTATGAATAATAAAAGCTCTTTATTGCATGTTTACTATGTGCAAGGGGCTCAGCTACTGATTGAAAAGTTGACAGTTCTATTCCGCAGGCCTCCCCATGAAGGAAAGGTGTGACGGTTTACTTCCAGATAGACTATGGACCAGCCATTGGGTAGACGCTGGCTCATAATGACTTTATAAAGGGTTTGGAGACTAATTCTCTATGGGACTAGACAGGTTCCTCTTTCTCTCAAGAAGCAGTTGGTAGGTTTGAACCACCAACCTTGTGGTTAGCAGGTTGCCCACACCTAGCCCACAACACCGGGTCAGGGCTCTTTGACAGAGCCCCTAAGGAGAACTTGTTTCCTCAAAGATCTGGTGGCAAATGGATGTTCAGGACCATTGTGACCGAGAATGACACTCCGGTGTTTTCAGATGAGGATTTGCTCTGGATGGCCAATATATGGTATTTTAAGTAAATTAAACAGATTCCTCAGACAGGCTAAGTAACTTGACCAATGTAACCCAGTGTACCTGTGTGTTAAAAAAATGAATCATGTCAATTATTTATTTCATTAACTCATTTGTAAGGCTACTGTGCAGTTCAAAGGTAGAATTCTTGCCTTCCCAGTGGGACCCCACCACTACTGTGGAGTCAATTCCGCCTCATAGAAACCATATAAAGGACTTCCAGGGTGTAAATCTCTATAGAAACAGACAGCCTCCTCTTTCTCCTGCAAAGCGGCTGGTGAGTTTGAACTACTGATGTTGCTTTGAGCAGCCGGTTACCTGACAATGCCACCAGGGCGCCTTCTAGGCAGGACATCTGAGTTCAGTTCTTGGCCAATGTGTTCCTCACCTGCCTGTCACTGGAGGCAACGAGGTTGGACAAGCTTCAGTGGATCCTGCAGACTAAGATGGAGTAGGAAGAAAGACCTAGCAACCTACTTCCCAAAACTCAACCAATGAGAAGTCTATGGACCGCAATAGTCCAATACACAATTAATTAGGAGGGGGTGACATAGGGTTGGACAGTGTTTCGTACCTGGTACGTGGGGGTCACCATAACTCATGGGTCAACGCAAAGGCAACTAACAACAACAACAACAACATGGTGTAAGTTAGACAAGGGGTTCAGGGTGTTGACAAGGCCAAGTATGTCTTACATGGAGTGTCAGGATTGATTTCTTCTTGTTTGAAATGAATATGTATGTCACTCAAGACTCCAACTCTGTTCTGTTTTACATTTCCTCCTTGATTAGCCATTTAGACCAATAGGTAGAGCTAAGAGGTAAGTAATCTGGAGGGTTTTAATTTTATTATTCTTATTTTCCTCATAAACAATGCATTTTTTTTTGCTGTTGCTTCCCCCACCATCCCTCCCCTCATGGTGCTGTTCTTGCCCCTGTCTCTGTCCACCTCCTTGTCATCAGAGTTGAGTCTACAGGTGTACAAACCACATTCTTCTTTGTGTTTCCTTATAACAATAATGACGATAAATATTTATCTTTGTAAGATTGTCTAAGTTTGCTAAGTATGATGTCCTCTAGTTTTGTCCATGACTTGTAGTGTTCAAGAGAGTTATCGTTGTTTTTTATTGACGCGTAAAATCCCAGAGGATGAATGTTCCAGACCTCGTTGATCCATTCCTCCACACTTGGGTTGTTTCTATGGTTTTGCTATTGTAGAAATTGCTACAATAACATAGATGTGCATATAGGATGGATTTTTTTAAAACCGTATTTTGAAGTCAATTGGTAGGTCTGCTTCACATTGTTTAATAAGTGGTTTGTTAGGGCAGGGGAGGTGACAAGCTATTAAAATTAAATAACTCCGAAGCCTGGACATCTGGGTGTCTTATCATTAAGTACAGTCTTCAAACCAATCTCATTAACCTCTCAAGAATGCCCTTCTTGTTTCCCAAAGATCTTGATCACTTTGAAGTGACAGATGGTATAAACCCTTAGCCTTAAAGTTTCTTTCCTGCCAGACCTGTATCTCAAGGATTTTGTGTATTCTAAGTGACTTTGTCTTCTGAACTACTCTCTGACCTTCAAAGAATCAACTGTACCTCCTTTTTTTAATCACAAGATTGTCGATGTTAATCTAAGCAAAAAATAAATAAACCCAAACAAACAAACAAAAAACCCACCCCTGGCTTTGTAATAGTGGAAGCACGTTCTCTAAAACTCCTGTTTGCAAATCTTTCTGTCTCACTCTTAATACATAATCTATCTCTTTAATTGTCAAAGCCTTATTGTTTTAACAAAGCCCAAGTTGCATTGAAATCTTTACTCTGGAGTTTGACTGGAAAGACGTTTCCTCTGTCTGAAGCTGGACTGGCCTGACTTCCCCAAGTTGAGCTTATTGTCTGGAGCTCTCACAGCCTTGGAGGAGAATTTACTTGATCCTTTCATGAAATCTGGGTCTTATCAGATTGATTCAACATTGTATCCTGCTTGTCAGGTGCATTTCTTCAACACTGTATCCTGCTGATGTGACAGGGCTAAACGTGGTCGTTTTCAAACCTAATACTTTATTTCTCGAGGGGTCTAGCACCGGTGGCCATTCCAAACACCAAAGGATAGAAAGTGATTAAGCCTTACAACCACTCTGAAGAGTGGTCCCTAAATGTACCACCATTTTTCAGATGTGTAAATCAAAGCTCAGAGATTGAGTGAACTGCTCAAGGCTCATAAGTCACGGGGCCTGGTTTCAGAGGCAGAAAAGATCTCTAGCCAGCTGCCCGAACCCAACCAAATTCACCATCATTGGGTCCAGTCTAATTCATAGTGACCCTATGAAGGGTTTCCAAGACTGCAAATCCTTATGGGAGTGGAAAGCCTCCTCTGCTGGGTTTGAACCATCGACTTTGCAGTTAGCAGTCCAGTACTTAACCCACACTGCCACCAGAGGGCCTGTCAACTGGCCACCAAAACCAAAACTGAAAACTCACTACCATGGAGTTGATGCTGACTCATAGTGACCCCACAGGAGAGGCTAGAACTGCCCCTGCACATTTCCGAGACTGTCATTTCTTAGCCTCATCTTTCCCCCACAGAGCAGGCGGTGGTTTCAAACTGCTGACCTTACGGTTATCAGCCCAAGATGACTAACGATGCCACCAGTTCTCCTTCGTCAATGGGCCAGTTTCCTGGAAGTAGTGATCTTTTAGAGTTTGAGGAAATCATCACAAACTTTCACAGGTGTGGTGATTTCTCCTTATTCCACCGGCATTACCACCGAAACCGGAGACCGGGTGGTTAGTGGATGGAGGGCCATGTGGTCGTGTGTGTGGCTCACCCTGCTCTTCTTCCATGCAGTTCCCACGGTGGTTGCAATCCAGCAGAGACCGAAGAGGCAGTGAGCTCTCTCAGCTGCTTTCTCCACCCGTCGGAGGAGAAGCCGCCCCTGAACGGACCGAGGAAACATCTGAATCACACACCAGGTGGCTATTGAGGTCTTCTTCGTGTTGGCATCAGAAGAGTTGCTTGAGCGTGTGTGCTTTTTTTCAACCACTGGGCTGATGTTAGAGATAATGTTAACTTCTGTTTCTTGATGGAGGGGCCGAGGCGGAGGGCAGGGTAGCGCGTTGGGGGTACATGTGCTTGAGGAGAGTAGGTCCAAGCTTGCTTTGCCGATGGGAAGGGGACCTGTCCTTTGGCTGAGCTCTGGGGGAGTGGGGTTGGTGGCTATATGACCTGGGGCCACATTTGATCACTTTGCCCATGAGGAAGCTCCTTGGTCTAAAAAAAACAAAAAGGACTAAAAAAATTAAAGAGGATCTAATCGCCCCCCTTTCTCTTTCTGTCTCAGCTGAAGATGAAGCTTTGGATGTTTCTGAAGTAGCCCATGCTTTCCCCTTAGCTGGACGGAGACCAGTAAAAGTTGACAAGGGGCAGTCAGGGATTCTGAGAACACAACCCCCATCTGGTTTTACGACCCTTGGCTGAATGGTGTTTTCTACCACAGCCCCCCGAGGGCCCTATTGTGGAGAGGGATTCTGAATTTACAAGGAAACCAGCCTGGGAAGATGCTGAGTTCTATCAAGTGCGTGCTGGTTGGAGACTCTGCTGTGGGGAAAACCTCTCTGTTGGTGCGCTTCACCTCAGAAACCTTCCCGGAGGCCTACAAGCCCACAGTGTATGAGAACACGGGCGTGGACGTGTTCATGGACGGCATCCAGATCAGCCTGGGCCTGTGGGACACAGCCGGCAACGATGCGTTCAGAAGCATCCGCCCCCTGTCCTACCAGCAGGCGGACGTGGTGCTCATGTGCTACTCCGTGGCCAACCATAGCTCTTTCCAGAACTTGAAGAATAAGTGGATTGGTGAAATCAGGAGCAACTTGCCCTGTACCCCGGTGCTGGTGGTGGCCACCCAGACCGACCAGCGGGAGATGGGGCCACACCGGTCCTCCTGTATCAGTGCCATAGATGGGAAGCGACTGGCCCAAGATGTGAGAGCCAAAGGCTATCTGGAGTGTTCGGCCCTCAGTAACCGGGGCGTGCAGCAAGTATTCGAGTGTGCCGTCCGGACTGCTGTCAACCAAGCCAGGAGGCGCAACCGAAGGAAACTCTTCTCCATCAATGAATGCAAGATCTTCTAAAGCCCAGAGAGAGCCAACATGCCCTTGCTCGTCCCCCAACGAATGGGTGGAGGGACGGTAGGCGAGCCGAGAGGATACATCCTGAGCAGTGTTTCCTTTCCGCTGCAGCGGTTGACGAGACTCGGTCAGAATGAGCCTGACAAAGGAGCTCTTGGACTAGGCCGATAGAAAACTCCTTGGGGCGCAGTCTTGATGGTTTCACCTTTGATTTTAAAAAAAGTTAAACCAGTAAAATTGTCTCCATGATTGTGGATAATGAAGTAAGTTTTCCCAAGAATTCCACAATTTAAGACACATTTTATGTTTCTTGTGCAAGGGAGCTTCAAAAAAAGTTTGTGGGAAGATTCCATTATCTTTCACTTCCAATTTCCCATGAACGTTTTTTTTTTTTTGAAGCCCCACCCCCCTTGTATATAATTAAGGTTTCCTATTTGGGAAGCCTTTTCCGACTGAAGTGTAAACATCCTAAATGAGTGCAAGGACCTTATGGGGCTCGGCCACCTGTTTGTAGCATTATTATTTTCTCCTGAATTGGTAAGCATTTGTGTTGAATTGCTTGTCTGGATGTTACTAGGTAATCAGAAATTTAAAAGACAATAAACTGATCCGTGTGGTTCATTCCTCTCACCCATCCAAAGCCATACATCGAAATATAGTTAAATGACCTATTTCAATACTACCTAATGACTTAAAAGTAATCACCTATATTTCTTTATTATAAAAAAGTCTTTTTAAAAATTACCATGTTACCTGTCAGCCAAAGAGCTTCAAGTATGCACTAAATGGACTTACCTCGTTCACTAAGAAAGATGAAAAGATAACCTTTCAGGTGCAGAATCTGATTGCTCCAAGTAATGGCAGCAGATCCTGGGACCGAACCAAGGAAGCTCACAAGTCCATGTCAGGAGCGACTGCGTTTTGCTCACTTCCTCTGCTGCAGTGGGTCCTATCTGCTTGCAGGTCTTGTGAAAGGGAGCAGACTCAGCTGAACATAATTTATTAATCTTAGTATCTAAACAGTTAATAATAAAATAATTAAGAAGGTCTAACATATGTGTAAGTGGAGGCAGGGAAGGTTGAATTTTATAGTTTTTACTATTTCATGAACATGGAGCACCTGAATGAAAAAAAAAAAGTCACAGAACAGTGAGATAGAATGAAAACCCAAGGAGCTGAAAAGCTACACAACCATTGCTCAGATCTTTGATAAAATGTTGTCACTGAATAGATAGGGGTACACACGAGACACCAAACCCTGTTCTGTCCAGCTGCTTAAGCAATGGTCTTACTAATCTGTTAAAGTTGGAACAGAGAACTGTGTAATTTGAAGAAGATACTGTAAAGGCTGGCACACATGTGTATCACGTACTACCCTAATCAAATAAAGCTGTTAACCATTCTGAACCACAGAGATTGTCTGTTATGATGCATGGCGATTGCACACAATGGTGCAGATGTTAGTACTATGGTTAAAATGTTGTTGACATTACCAAACTGGATTATCTGTTTCTCTGCATAGTTCCTTTTTTTATAGTAAGTGATGATCATAAAACATCAGCAGTGTGCTCCTCCCTTGCACTTTCTGGTCCTTCTCCTTGCTTGCATCCACATCCAAAAAAAGTCTGGGACTTGCAGCTCTGCCTCCACGACTGGTGTTCCTCTAGGGTCCTGGGACTATTTTTGCCTCCACCTTGACATTACCCAACCTTCGGTCCTTGGCTGGTCCTTGATGCTTTGTCATCCGTGCTGCTTTCCTTGACAGCATCAAGATCCCGCTCTCTGAACAGGTGCCTTGAGCACGGAAGGGCTTGAAGGTTGGCTAGTCCAGGGGGGGATGGCAGCGCATATCTCTGACATCTCTGCTGATGGTTCAGTCACTTGCTCTGCCAGCACAAAATCCCTCTAACTACTACGGAGTTTCTCTCCGGGGCCAACTTTGTGGAGAGTGGGAGGGATTATTTGGTATGTTAGTAAGAACGGATGTCTGTCCACTAAAATCATCTGTTCTCAAAGCTTTTCTTTCATTTTTGTTGAAGGTAGATGGTAGGAGGGATTGTCTGAAGGTGAGAAAGGACCAGAGACCAGATTCTAATTGGGAGAGAAAGTGGAGTTTTCATGGTGGAAGAAGATGAGCTGCAGGGAGGACCAGAGAGGATAATGTCAAACATCACACCCCCCCATGGCTTTGTCTTTACCTGGGAAAGATAAACGACATGGAACTTCTGCCTATTGGCAGGACCCACGCTTAAAGGCTCTCGCACCAGAGAGCAGGAGATGTACGTGCAAGTCCTTCCCAGTGACAGGACCTGGACCAGCAGTTCTCAACCTTCCTCATGCCCAGACCCTTTCATACAGTTCCTCATGTGGTGGTGACCCCCAACCATAAATTTATTTTCGTTGCTACTTCATAATTGTCATTTTGCTACTGTGATGAATTGGGTGACCCTTGTGAAAGGGTCATTCGACCCCCAAAGGGGTCACGACCCACAGGTTGAGAACTGCTGACCTGGCTAGTAAGGCTAACCAGCACCTGTCTTTCCTACTAGACTAACAACAAACCCGAAAACCAGTAATCAGTTGCCATCGAGTCAACGGTGTCTCGTGGAGACTACCAGTCGGAGTCCAACTGACGTCTTCTTAGGTTTTCGGTGAATGCCTTTTCCAGAGCCCTTGGGCGGACTCAAACCTCCGGTCTCTGGTTAGCAGCGTACGTGCTGACCGGGACTTCCCCTGAGGGCATTCAGCTTAGTGCCTCCAGGTCAGGTATTGGGGAGGAATAGGACCGAAACCAAAGTTTGTTGAACTAAATTGAAGAGAAAAAGATCGAAATTGGATGGTTGTGCCACCCACGTTTTATGGGAAAGAAGTAAACTCTAACCAGCCTCACAGATTTTGGTAGAATCCGTGTAATCACTGTGGCTTATAAGGATGTCCTACATGCGTGTATTTTTATTTTTGCCTGCCCAGACCAAGGCACAGTGTTGTCCTTCAAAAGCTGTGATACCGTTTTGGAGACTGTGTTTATTATGTAGCCATTCTTGAACGGCACCAAGCACTGACATGGCATGTGCTCTTGTCTACATTAAAGGCACAGCAGCGATTTCATTGTCTGAGTGTTTCATCCAATCTGGCTTACTTTATAGTGACTGTTCAAACGGGGCAGCAGAATTTAATGGGATCTGTATAAGCTGAGTGACAAGGACGCTGAAAACCCTCACATCTGGAAGATGACAATTCCTCATGCACATAGGATGTTAAGCAAGCGATAACCTTTTGTTGTTATTGTGATCCATAATATTAAAAACCCCTTTACATGTATGTCATGTTGCTGCTGAGACTACACACAGCTAAGCACACACCAGGTTCCCACAGTTCCCACGTGGGCACGCCCGTGGTCGTGAAGCCCACCCCTGAGTTGTGCAGCCTTCCTCCCTCTCTTCTCGGAGCTGTTCCTCCCCCAGGGACACACACTCACTGCCCGCTGAGGGCCTCGTCATCTTTGCAGACGCTCTCGTTCCCTTAATCCCAAAGAGAAGAGGCTTCAAAGACTAGACTGCCCGAGACAGGCATTTTTAACTAGTTAAGCTGAACTCTAGTTTGGTTTTAGGAAGACTTCAGGGAACATTTTTGGTTGAAGGCTTAAAGATTTTCTCTGGGCAATAGTTTTAGGGGGTTGATCACTATCTTTGTGGCTCCACAAAGTCTAGAGGCCATGAGGTTTTGAAATTTTGTTTTACACCACCCCGTCTCCGCCGATCAGAGTTCTTCTCAAGAATCTTTGACCAGAATGTTGAGAAATGGGAGCCAGACACCCTGCAATACTTCGGGTGTCACAACAAAGGAGGCCGTTGTTCCTGGAGGCAATTGGCTGCACATTCCATTTCTTCCTTCCTTTCTTGACTCTCCTCCTTCCTCTGTTGCTCTAGGTGAGTAGAGGCCAAGTGTTGTGCCAAGAGATAAAACTGATGGTTAAAATTCATCGGGAGTTTCAGAATTGCGTTCTGTGCTAACCATTTGTGTGTGTGTGTGTGTGTGTGTGTCCATCAGCTTACCACATGGCACGCAAATGAGCCCACTGTGAGTTCCCATCCTATACCATGAACCTGAGGCTGGCACAGAGACAGGAAGAGTCCAAGGCCGTGCAGCTAGTGAGTGGAGGCACCAGGAGTCTCGAGACACTCTGCTCAAAGCCACCTCACCCCACTTCCTCCCAGAGCAGCCAGCTGCATGGCTTTGCCACATCCGATCTCATGGGGCTTGTAGACCTCAACCCTAGCAAGCAAATGGCCAGTATTTAAATACATATATTTAAAATAGAGCGTTCTGAGTCTGGCCTTTCCCTTTCATTTTGCTTCTGGCAATGACAACAGGCTCTGGCTAAGTCCCAGAGCACCAGCATTTGCAAACGTCCTTTTCTGCTCTTGACTGAACCGTGTCTCCAAAGCCCTACACCCTGGTGCCTGTGAAGGTGACCTTGTTTGAACAATCTCTTTGAAGACTTTCTCGGTTAGATTTAGGTAAGGTGGGTCCTCATCCTATGTGAGTGGTGTCCCTGTAAAAGGGAAGATATGAGGGGAGCTTCAAGAAGTTCATGGAAAAATGGAAGGAAAGATAATAGAATTTTCCATCAACTCTTGGAAGCTCCCTTACATGCAAATCCACAGGAACAGAGGTGCGATGCTGTGCTGTGGGGTGCTGCGGCTGTAAGTAAAGAAATGCCAGAAACTACCAGAAGCCAGCAGAGAGGCACGGAATACCTTCTCTCTCAGAGCCCGAAGAGATCAACCCACCTCTGATCTGTGAGACCATAGATTGTGGTTCTTAAAATCCATCCAGTTTGTGGTTATTTTATGACTGCAGTCCTAGGAAACCAGTACAACACCCCGAGTGTGACTTTTAAATATCATTTCATACGCCGATGGCATGTGAATTTCCAGAGATGAAAGACATTGTGACTTGACACTTCTTTTAAAACTTGGAAAGATGCTCTTTTTCACATC